TCCATCTAAATGGAAGTCCCAAGTGCCACAGCTTTAGCTCACCTGACTACAGGTAGTCCTTGCTTAATGAATGCCCTGCTTAGCAACCATTCAAAGTTACAATGGCACTGAAAAAATAACTTTATGACCAGTCCTCACACTTACACCTGTTGCAGTGTCCTGCAGACACATGATCACCATTCACACACTTTACAATTGGCTTACAACAAGTAGAGTCAGTGGAGAAGCCAGCAATCACATGTTTTGCTTAACGACCACAGGTTATTCACTTAACAACCACAGAGGTAGTGACGTTGTAAGTCCAGTACAGTCACATGATGTATCATTTAGCAACAGAGTTGCTCATCCCATTTGTGATCATTAAGTGAGGACTACCTGTAGTAAATAATGTATGGGCATTTTACCCTCTTCAGTCTGGAAGGAATATGAACAACCCAAATTATGAATGTTTTGAATTGTTTTGTTTGATGTTAAACAGAGGTATATCATGGTTAGCTGTGTGACAGTATGGTGCAAATGCTACGGTTACAACCCATAACTGTGAATGCCATCACATTTCATGACAATTAGAGAAATTCCTGAAGAAGGTGGCTTTGGCTACTCATCATAATGATAATATATATTTACTCCAACCAAAGGCAGTAAGATTTTGAAAACCAGCTGCTGTAATTACGCCCAAATAGAAGGATACCACATACTTACAGTATGTCGTTTTTATGAACTTCTTAAAGATATCTGGTTGGCACTGCTGATTTATGGTCTACAAGTTGTGGGACTGGATCCATGTGACATAGATGAGGCAGCCTGGGGAGGGGCTTAGGGCAACATTTAGCCTTTGGGTGATGAGTCAGGGCCACACTCCAAAAAATACATGAGACTGGGGGAAAAACTGAATTTGATTGAATTAAATGTAAATTATGTCACCTTAATTTAATTCCCCATATATTTAACAGTTTTCTCCATATAACCGATTAAAAATTACAATGTGCTGGCAAGTTTTGGAAGGATTCTGGGGTGACATCTAAAGTTTTTTGGGGGTGACATGCAGTTTTGGGGACCTAGTCTGTGCCCCTGAGCTAGATGGACCAATGGTCTTATTCAGTATAAGATAATTTGGCATAAGAACAATCTACCAGCCTGACTGCAATTGAAGTTGGAATCTAACCTAGTGAACAATTCCTTCTTCTCCAAGTATGAAACTACAGACAAGAATCTTGTGCACCTCCAGCATTATCCTGTACATCAGTCTTCCCTAAACTGTTGTATGCCAGATATGGAGTCCAATTCTCATAATCTCCAACAGTATAACCTTTGGCTTCAGAAATTTCTTAGGCTGAAATCTTACCTTTTTATCCTTGTCTCATACTCCAGTTTTTGTTTTGCCATTTCTTGCTTTAAGCTTGAAACAAGGCTGTGCAAAGCACTGTGATTGCCTGTGTTGTTAACAAACGTTTCACTGTTGTCACTGCTGCTAGTAGCCCTGCTGCTTCGGCCCCCAACACTTCTTCGGTCAACTTTGCTCTCACAATCTGCTGGGTTCAGGAGATTGTCAGGTTGGGGCTCGTCTAATACAGGGTCTTCAAAATTGCCCCCGTAAAAGTCCTGTTCAGGACAAGTCGTGGTGGACGATCGGCAGGAGTTGGAATGTTCAGGAAGGGATATTTCACAAGAGGACGTGGACCAGGTTGCACTATCAACACTCTGCTTATCTTCAGCATTCAGTGTTGAGAACTGTTGGTGCACATTATCATAAGTAGAAAGTCTGTTATGCTGGCCTGAATCACTCATAGGCTCCTTTTGCTTGTTGTCCCTCAAGGTCACATACCCATTAGGCATCCAGCTCTGGCAACGGCTGTTCAAAGAGTTGCTGTGGGCATCAGTGCTTGAAATACCCATTCGCACCCCTCCATTTTGTACACTGTGTGTGCCCATTTTAGTTACTGGCCCTTTCAGAGAAGATGTTCTTCTCGTCTGTAATGTACCATTGGGTAAGGATGGTGATGTTTTCTCTTGACCCTCTACAGAACTACTGAAGGACCCATTGGTGACTATGCCACTACCTTTATTAAATGCTGGGTTTTTTTTCACTGTGAGGGGTGGACTCCTGGTCATGTCCAGTTTGTGAATGCTGTTCCTTGGGCTATTTGATTTGCTTCCAGGCTGAGCTGTAGGAGACCCATTGTCCACAATGGTTCTTTGAGGAGATTCAGGTTTATCCCATGAGCATCGCCTCACTGGTGATGAGTCCTTAGTATTATTATTTTCTCTGTTCTGGAGCTGACCAATGATCACTTTCTTTTGGATCTCATTGTTGTTATTGCAAACCTCCTGTCCACTTTGAGAATCTGCATCCTTGGGAAACAACAGTTCATGTTCACTTATCATCATGGACATTAACTGCTGGACAACAACAGTACCTAGTAGGAAATAACACAAACAGACCTAGGTTAAGCATGCCGTAACTGTTGAAAAAGAAATGCTACGTATACTTTGCATCCATGCTATCTTTGCATGAGACTCAATGTCTTGTACTGGGTTCATTTTCTGATGGAAAAAGAGGAGACTTTCTCATCTAGGAAGTTCTAGCAATCATCATTTGTGATGAGCAAAGCACCAATGATGCTTATACCACATAAAGTAGACTTTATGCAAAAAAAGGTTCTCTCTCTCTCTCTCCCCCTCCCTTCATCCATCCTATTTTAAAGAGTGATATAGGAGAGCAACCTAGGAAGAGGAGAAATGACCAGCATCTGGTTGTATACCAAAGTAATTCAACTAAAATGTCCCATGATTTCCAGCAGTAAATGATGTTTGACAGTCTATCCTAGTCTCACAGTGAATGTTTTCCTGTGATTGGCTGGGAAGCAGTAAGTGTAAAGCTGAATCAAGATAGCCATTATCTCTTTAAATAGATTTTATTGAATTCTTTTAAAACTTCTAGAATATAGGATAGATGGACAGATTTTAAGGGCTGGCACACGTTTTGTTTTGATTGGAGATGAAGCCAACGGCTGTATGCTGAGGGCATTGAAGAAAAAGAGACAAGAGCTAAATATTGTTGATGTGCTTAAGTTGTCTATGAACTGTTCAGTTGCTTATATTAAGTGGAAATATAGCATGCACCTTGATGCGGTATTTACTATTACAGACTAGATAAAAAGGTGACATTCAGAACAGCTGGACTTGAATGCCTTCTGCCCTATTTCTCATCTCTGATTCCATAATTTGCAAAATAAAAACCAGTGTCTACAGTCTAGATGGAGATAAGACCAAGAAACACCATCTAAAAATCATGCAGATATGAAATTTGAGCCACAGAAATCTTGACTCCCTGCTTTTACTTACAGCGACTATACCAACTTTTGGGAATGATGTGTGAAGCGTAAAAGCAGAGAAGGAAGGGAAACTATGTATGAAATTGGTTTTGGCACAGAGAGAAAAATGAACAAATGTACTGTATGCATGTAATGGTAATATAGCGGTAATAAATTCTCAGAGTAGAACCAAACTATTTACTATAACTTTTCATGTCCTTGTGAGATGTTTGGGATACAGCATTCTAAATTAAGTAACTGATATGATGGTATGATATATGATGATATGATATATGATATGATATGATATGATATGATATGATATGATATGATATGATGGATTTCTGAGCATGCTTTTCCAATATAAGAGTTACTTCATTCTTGTAGCACCACTGT